TCCACCGTGTGAGAGCTACCTGATCATTCAGCAGTTAAGTCCTAAACAGTATCATTAAAACTAAAGAGTCTCACTCTGCATAGCATTCTCTGGACTGCGGAGCATTGTCTTCTGCACTGCAGGGAGTAGCAGCTCCTTGAACTCAGAGTGGGACACATGACGAAGCAAGGAGTCACTTTTGTCCAAAATGTGCTGTTGTGGTTTTGTTTTGATCATAAGAACCGACTTTATGTACAGGTCCAACATGGCACTCTGAAAAATAGCACACACAAGGGTCCAGTTTGCAGCCATTTTTGCAGACTATTACTAAAATCTAAGAAGACAAATCAGAAATCTCACCTTATGCTTCTCTATTGTAGCTTTGCCTTTCTGAGCTGTGCAGAAATCTAAACACACCCCAAGCATGGCAAGAGTTGTAGGGCTTTGATCCAGACTCAGTAGAGTACTGATGTATTGATCAACCAGTCCAGGGTTCTAATAAAGACAGACAAACTGTCAGACCGATCCAGACCTGAAGTTTAAAAACGTGGGGAATACCGGGGCGACATGCCTCTTCAGCTGATGCATTTAGTAGAATGGAATTCTATGTGTTGTGTGAAACATGCGTTAAAAACACCTCTAAATCTGTGGGTAAGTCAGAGAGTCTAGTAGAGCTTGTCTTGTGCCTGAGAATGTGAACAAACTCATCAACTTGCAAAGCTGAACAGAGTAGTATTGTTGGGAAACAGTGTATGTTTGGTTTATACTGCACTTTATGTTGACAGTGAAGAAGTGTTCCTGTTCCTTATGGTTTTAGCCAGAATTTTAAAGCAAACTATTTAACTTTTGGCCAAATAAATAAAAAGCAATGTTGAGATCAGCAGTGCCCTCCAGCCATTTTATAAAAAGTGAATTGAACCACGACTCCAAAACCATGATCCTGTGAATTTTATGAACCGTTCCACCCCTACTCTACATTGTCTTGCTGGACTGGAATGAAAGCCATCGACAACTGAAAATAGTTTTGTCAAAAAGCCCCCTAGTTTGGTTCCAGATCTCTTCAGTACCCATTGACCCCCGACTCCCATGTCTCTGACTTTTGCCATGTGTCAAATAGAGTAAATGAAAATGAAACCAAATGGCAGTTCAGTCTGGTTCAATCAACCCCTCTGACAAGATCAACATGCATGTCTCTTAATGTCAATATGTTCGATACTCACTTCCTGCCAGAGGTGACTGAAATGCTTAAGACTTGATTTCTGAGCCGTGGTTTTGGCTCCACCCACCACTTCAGCCACAAGAAGGCTCTGAATCTCCACCTAACAGAGAGGACAGCAGATCACAAAGTGATAGCAACAGCCAGAGTAAAACACTAACCCTGGGAAACATGGGCAAATTCTGAGTGGCAGGGACATTTTTCTGAGAGTCAGACAATATCAATAAATGTGTGAGAGATGTAATAACACCTTAAAAAGTCTTTCACTGACCATTTTCTTCCAGATAGGTCCTGCTCTTTTCTCTGGGACAGAAAACACACTGGGGACTAAAAGGCAGGTCCAAGACAAGCCGATGAAGGCGGCAGAGCCTGTGCTTTTACTGTGAATATAATGAGAGAAGCAGAAGAGGACACCCTGAATATAATGCAACCTCAGATTGGACACTCATCTATCATTTTCAATGTGCTGTTTATGATCTTTATCACCCATTTATAAACATTCCTTTTAAATGTCCTGCTTTCAGTTTGTTAATTCTGCCTCATATTCTATAAAACAGTGAACAGACAGTGTTACAGTATAATAATAAAGTTTATCACATTCTTGCTAACTGCAGTCATCATGAAAAGCACTCTCTTTCATACTTTGCGTATAAAGCTGTGCTATACATAGTTGAGAGCAGTACCTGGGCTGTCCATTTTTGCTGATGATGCCACTGTTTAGCAAGCAGTGGAGGAGGCTGGTCACCAGGATGTCAGGCTGACTGTCAGCCAGCTGGGCAATGACAGAGAGCAGCTCTCTGCGAGACGCAGCATCCCTGAGAAGCACACATACTCATGTAAACACGTAGGATACAAGAGTACACTAAGGCTTCACTAAAATGAGAACATCACATGAAAAAATTGCTTTGTGCTTGGTTTGGTTTTCTTGTGGCTTAAAGTGACTACAGTACGTGCACCTACCGATATCTGTGCGGCGTGAGACAGAAGAGCTTGCACAGCCCTTTAATGGCAGGTTCTGGTAACTCTAAAAAAGATATTTTAAAGAAGCATTGGTGGTGATTACAGCACCTATTTTTTATTACAGCATTTTAGTGTAGGAAACTTTGTAATAAAATCTCTCACCTTTGCCGTTTATACACTGTCTCAGCTCTCTGAATATCTCCTTGCGCTCTTTCACACTTGCTGTAGTAACTTTTACAGCAAATTTCTTCAGTGTGTCTGAAACCTGAAGTAAACAGTGACATTTAGAATGACTGAATGACCTACAGTCCAGGACCAAGCGGTATTCAATTCATGAACATGTGGGACCAGTAAGGACAGCTTCTTCTCACATTTGAGACTCTGAAACTAGGGAATACTTGGCATATTGTCCTGAAGGCTTTAAATGATTGGCTGATTAACAGGAAGGTATTGCTAAATGGACAAATGATCTCAGCTGCATTTACATAATTATCAATGTATACTTGAAATCCTGATGTTAAGATCTGAGCCTGTATTTAATAAATTTGTAAGAAGAGTAAAACAATCATGGCTGAGTGTGAACAATAAGACACATTTATCAAGTGACTAGGCTGTATTACCACAGACATACCCTGCACCTTAACAGTCGCATTGATGGGCCTATGCCTTTTCATGGACCAATGAGATAGTGAACTGTTCGACAAGTCCAATTGGAGAAAAGGATTCCTCTGTTTAAATGCTGAACAGATGCCAAAACACAGCACACTGGTGTGTAATACTCAGACAGTACAGTACACCGGGAATGCATGTTGCTGAATAACATCACATACAGTACAACGCTTGTGTCATTTCCCCTGAAGACATCAAATACAACGTACAACGCTTGTGTCATTTCCCCTGAAGCTGTTCTGGGTGGGAATGAGACTGCTTGAAAGAGAGAAATTAGACAGAAAAGAGAACAGAAATGTGGACTTTTTTCATCTTTGCTGAACAGCTCTTTATGTAGTTGACTACATCAATAAAAAATATACCTCAAAACAAATGAAGCCCTTATTTTAAAATCAACTGGGGAGGAACGTCCAGCAGAGTCAGCACTGTCACTGTACCAGCACCTACCACAGTCAGTGGCTTATGTTCTGTATATTTTTACATTCACAAAGTTAACTATTAAAATTTACTACCTGTGGAAGGCGTGGCTTAATTAACATTATCACATAAGGTGCTTGTCTGTCTGAATTAAGGAGCTCAAACCAATTTAAGTTAAATCTCCTTAAAACTTAGGCTACAGGCCGGTACTACCCAGAAAGGCTTGGTCTCACCTCCCGCCGCCGGTTATCGTTAGCTCCAGCAGCCCTCACACCGAGCCTACGTAGCACTGAGCTAACAGCCTGTTAGCTAGCTGTTGCTCATTTCTGCTCGTTTCTTTCTGAACACCAAAACACACTCGTGTGTTTATAAAGCGATACACACGGTGCAGCGAATTTGGTTTCCACACAACTTATATAGCATTCTGTAACCGGACAGCATTATATATATACGTATACATTAAAAACAACCACACAAACCTGCGTGTCCGCTGCCATCTTGCCGGTCAGATGCAGGAAGAAATTGTTGATATCACTTCCAGGTCACAACAGCTACGTGACTTACATTACTGATCTAGTGATGGGGAGTTCGGATCACTTTCCTGATTCGGTTCTTTGAATCTTTTTTCGAGTCATTTCATTCACTTCAGCAGAATGTAATTAAAATGTTACATATTAATTCCCCATTTGGGATAGTTATTTCCTTTGCTATAAAACTTTATAAATAAAAATAAACAATTGAAGAGTCAGTCTCTATTATTAAATAACTGCATATAGGTTAAACACAACACTCAGATTTATGCATGAACGTGTACATTTCTATTTTCTACACTGCGGGGTTAGCTGATGTTTATATTTGTTAATACAAAGAAAAAATAAATAAAAGTAAGTACATAATTAAGAAAGAAAGAAAGATTTTCCCTGATGAAGTTTAAAGCATTAACCAACTCTTTATTAAAACATTCAGTGTTATGGAATGAATGCCAGTGTACAGTGTGTCTACATGTTGACTGCAGTGACTTCAAGAAGTTCAATTTATCTGAAAAGACTCACATGGATAGGATTACCAAGAGCAGAGACTGACAGTTGTGATTATGAATATGATATACAAACAGACCGCCTGAATTTCAAGATTTCATACACCATCAACAAAACTCTTAGTAAACGGTAACTATAAATAAATGGTGGAACACATAAAAAAATGAGTGGAACTCATTTCCTCTGCACTGCACACTTACCTGTAATAAAAACACTGTCCATCAGGGGTCATTCTGTTATTCTTTACTAAAACTGCAGAGCAAACCACAATTAAATAGAAATTATATTTACAATTACCAGTTCCAGGCCCAAACTTTCCCTAAAAGATTATTGAGAATATTTAGGCTTTAAAATATTTTTTCCATGTGGATCATGGCTATAGGTCTTAGACCTTTGGCTAATGGACTGCATCAACCCAAGTTTATTCATCATGTGTTGGATATGACTTGAGACAAAACAACAGAAACAAGACAAAATACGAGCAGTTCAATACATGAATCTCTTGTCTGTACACATCTTGCATGCTATCCTGATGTATAGAACCCTACCTACCCTACCTATTATTTGAAAATAATATTACAAAAACAAAGATTTTCTGAGAAAAAAATATGGAATAATTCAAACTCCAATGAATCAATCAAAATGTAAAAATGTAACAACACAGGCAACTTTGAGGACATTTCATTTTTTTACAACAAAATATTATGTTCATTTTTTTTTTTCAAGTTAAGCCATTGAAAGACCAAGTTTGACACCTGTTCTGTTTTCTCCTGTGTATTCTCTCTCTCCCCAGATCATAATGTGATGATGTACTTTGATGAAGTGGATTATCTTTGGTTCATCAACCAGTGCTGGCAATTTTCAGCTCTGCTGACAGGTGCTCTGGAATGTGAACCACTATGTACAAGCAAACAGTAGCAGCCTAATGATGCTTGGTTCAAAATATTATTAATTTTCTTTTTTAAGACATTTAATCCATGCATGCACTGGTGTGTCATGTGGGCCGGACAGAGACCTGACCTTTGAAAATGTGTAAAAAAGGAGAAGCAGCAGCCAAGCAACCAGTGGTACCATATCAAGTGAAGCATGGGACTGATACTCCCATAAATATCTCTGAACACAGAAATATTACAAACTAAGCAGCTCATCGAGATGTCTGGACTCCTCTTTTCCAAGACCTTTTATGTCTGTTATTCCCAGTATCTCATTTTCAGTTTTTCGGCACAAGAGCGTCCACAATGGCAAAAATTATAAGTCCAACAATGACGAGTGCTGCTACCACCCCGATGCTAATAACCACCACTTTCAACTTCTTGTTCTCCCATCTCTTCTTTTTCTCCACCTTAGCAGTGGTCTTTTCAAATCTTTTACCCTGGGGAAAAACATACACAAAGAGAAGTTGTTACATTTCACTATTGTGGAACAAAATTCTTTTTAAATGAGTCTTGAGCATATGACCAATGCAGGACAGCATGAGCCCAAAGCAGGCACGCTGACTCTCAAGACACTTCCAAAGACTAGTTAGAAATTATATCTGTTGAAGAACAACAACAAATCTTTTCTGTAATGAACCACAAACTAAATTTGTTTTTCATGTGTATTTAAGAGGAACTCTGTGTGAGTTCATTCCCCAGATGTTTCTGTACTTTGCCTTTCTTTAAACAGTCAGTACGTTTATATTAACAATGGATCACATGACCACTTCAGTGCATCCAGGGTTTTAGAAGTAGGTGACAGTGTTGTAACAGTGGAAGACTGCCCCACCGGCCTGTGTTACATCACATCCTTGAGCAATTGCCACAGAAATAAAAAGCAAACAGACTGAACTACAACATTACAGTTTTGTTTCAGTTTCACACTCACATTGTTTTTCATTGCAGCTGGCAGCTGTTTTCAACAAAAAAGCTTCAAAACCCCACTATATATTAAATGTACGGAAACAAATGACACAGTTTTGTTTTTTCTTGTGTTATAAACAGCTGCCTGCTGTTTAGAGCAACAAGGCTGAACCAACACAATAAAATGTGGTGTGCAATATCAAAAAAATAGCTGAAAATTCTCTGCTGGTTCATCAATGTGAGCATCTCCTTTCACATCACATGCAGTCATTTAATTAACTGTTAAAAGATCAATATTGACTGGTCAGCTTTATCATGGGGCAAAAGGTCATTCCTAAGAATTTCTGAGCTTCAGACTGAGAGCTTGCTTTCCTAGTTTCCTGCTTCCCAATGCATGCTATTTGAAAGTGTATCTACATAAGTACTTCCTAAACTTAAATTTGCTGTTATACAGTAGTTCTCTGAGAACTGATCAGCAGTGTCATGTAACAGGCCAGTGGGGCAATGTGGGAACGACGTGATCCACTTTTCAGCCCCTGGACTGACATTCCTGGTATAAACGAGGAAATACTCTTCTAAAAATAAAACCATAAAACACAATCTGGATGTAAATTGCATATTTGTTTTCCTCTCCAGGTCCACATAAGGTATATTTCTAGATGGTAAATGGACTGTATTTATATAGCGCATACTTCACAGTGTGTTACACTGGCCAAAGCGCTTTACAGGAGATCATACACATTCACACACACCGATGACGAGAGGCTGCCGCACACTGGCGCCAATCGAACCACCGGGAGCAATTTGGGGTTCAGTGTCTTGCTCAGGGACACTTAGGCATGCGGGGAGAGCGGGAGTTGAACCACCAACTTGCTGGTCAGAAGACGACTGCCCTACCTCGTAAGCCACAGCCACCCCATAACAGTATGACATTTACCAGTTTCTATCCCTATGCGGAATTAATTTGTGCCATTTGCTTCACTCACTGACTTTATCTATACAATCCAGACACATCCACATAGTTAAAATAGTGTGGTGTGATGCAAAGTAATGATGTTTCCCTCAGCTTACCTTCTCCAGCAGCAAATCAGCCCTATCCTCTAGTTCGTGCAGTTTGCCGGATCGCTCATCAGCCTTGTTCATGGTGTCCATCATAATCACCTTCACCTCCTCCACCTCGTCCTGGGCCTGCTGCAGGGGGCTCTTCCCATTCTTCTGTTCAGTTAATACACACAACATGGTTAGTGAGTGAGGCATGATGTGCACGTATCTACTCATTTTGGAGATTTTTATCAAGAATTGCTGTGCTTACATAGTTTGGACTTGCCTAGTGCGATAAAAAAAGATGGATAGTGATAATGCCCTGTTGTTACTAGCAAGTGTCAGCTATAAGCTTCTGGGGAGAACTCCCCAGGTACAAAGAATGTGATGCATGTTGAGATAAACAGAGGAAGTTGGATCACATGCACAGTTAGCTTAACTAGTCAATGCCACCATGAAAGTTAAATATGTAGAGTGCATCCCTAGTAATGCACATTCACCACCAGAGACTAGAATAAAAATATGAGGAGCTTATGGATGCCCTCAAAAGCCCAAAATAGAAGGATTTGTTCCATAACTGGTTGTAGCACTAGACACCCCGAGTCAGCATGTACTTATTTCTCAGAATTGCACATCCAATTTTTGATGACCACTCTAGCAATTCAGTCATCCTGTGCTCGTAAACATCAAACTGAAGCGGTGTCATTCTTTCCCAGTAGGACCCCAATATGAAGGCCTCTACTGGAGCTTTCAGAAAAGCATTCTCTGCACCAAGAAGCTGCAAAAGACATCATTAAAATGATGAGGGCAATTAAATTGACAAAATGGCTTTGAGTCAAACCATTACAGGTTTTTGAATGCAAAGTTGTGTCCTAGTGCTTAAAGAGGAATTCCATCCATTTCCATCAAAAGGTCTGCTTACTAGTCACAGGGAGAATTACTCAGCCAATAAAATAGTTGTTGGATTGTTTTCTGAGCCTTAGGAGGGAGCTGTGTCACCTCTGAAGAAAAAATCCCCAATGATGTCATCAGGGGGTCACAAAACTTAAAAGAAGATAGGGAGCATTTATTTTGGAGCTTGATCTATTTTAGGGACTAATATAGGATAGTTGGGCTTCAGCTTAAGATAAGATAAACCATTATTAGTCCCACGACAGGGAAATTCACACCATTACAGCAGCAAAGGGAAAAAGACACTCAGTTTTAAGAATCTAAAAGTAACAAACAAGGTATTATCAATATAAATATAAACAATTGTGTTATAATAATAAAAAGTAAGATGTACTGTGGGCAGCACGGTGGCGCGGTGGGTAGCGCCGTTGCCTCACAGTGAGAAGGTTCCGAGTTCGTGACGTTTCTGTGTGGAGGTTGCATGTTCTCCCTGTGCTTGCATGGGTTCTCTTTGGGTACTTCGGCTTCCTCCCACTGTCCAAAGACATGAGGCTTAGGTTGATTGGTGATTCTAAATTACCCATAGGAGTGAATGTATGTTTATTTGGACTTGCCTAGTGCGATAAAAAAGATGGATAGTGATAATGTCCTGTTGTTACCAGCAAGTGTCAGCTATAAGCTTCTGGGCAGAACTCTTGGGGAGGACTGTGTTTATGCCGCCTTTCACCCGATGCTGGCTGGAATTGGTTCCAGGCCCCCGCAAGACCATTCGGGACTAAGCGGTATAGAAAATGAGAGAGAGAGAGAGAAGATGTATTGTACACTGGTATGCTGTGTATTTAGTTATTCAGTCTGTGGGTGTGTGAGGTCGACTTGGAGTGGGGGATCTCCCGGGAACAAGGCTGGCTGTACAGTCTGACAGCAGCAGGAAGGAAGGACCTTCGATAACGCTCCGTCTTATAGTTGGGGTGAAGCAGTCTGTCACCGATGGAGCTACCCAGTGCTGTCAGTCTCATGCTCGGGGTAGGAATCCTTCTCAAACAGGGATGTTAGCTTGACCAACATCCTCCTGTCTCCCACCACCAAGGTCAAGGGGACCTCCCAGGACCAGGCTGGCCCTCTTGACCAGTTTGTCTAGTGTTTTCCTGTCTGTGGTCGAGATGCTGCTGCCCAGCAGACCATTCCATAGTGCCAGATGTCCCTGTTGCGTCGAAGAAGGTGCTCAGGAGTGTCCCCTGCACTCCAAATGACCTTTGTCTCTTCATCAGTTAGAGTCTGCTGTGGCCTTTCTTTTAAAGTGCCTCAGTGCTGTTTGACCAGTCCAGTTTATTGTTGAGGTGAACACCCAGGTATTTATGAGTCCACTCTCTCAGCGTCCATTCCCTGGATGTTGACAGGGGTCTGAAGGGGGTGTCTGTGCCTGAGGAAATCCACCACAAACTCTTTGGTCTTCCTGCAGTTCCACAGACACCAGTCTGTCACAGTCTTGGATCAGTTTAAGTACTCAGATGGTTTATTTCTGCTGCTGTAAGGCATCAGTTTTGTATTTACTTTAAAAAGTTTTTAGCTCCTTTTGAAATTTTGATTTATGTTTTTCATTGGAACAATCTTTAAAAATCCGAATGAGCATTTTACAGCTCGTGTTCTAGACAAGCTGCCAAATGAAAACTTCCAGCTACGTCTCTAAATCTGCCTGATATAGATCAGACTGGCTTGCTGTTTGTTTGTTTTAGAAACAGAGCAACAGCCTTGTGGTTCATTTCAGAACGCTGCTGTGGTGTGTTTAATGACAAGCAAGGCAAGAGTATGTTCATTTGTAAGTGTATAACTAAAATAATTATTATTGAACCATGTAATAGAACAAAATTGTTATGAACTTTCCCCAGCAAATTCAAAGTTTAAATGAAAAGAGAAATGAAAAGAGAAACAAGTTATGACAAATGAGCGTAATAAAATGAAGCAGGACAGGTTTTCAAAGATCATATTACACTGCGGCAGTTGTTTACAGCAACATCTGCGATGTGGGCAAAGCAGCCCCAAGGGACAGGACATGAGTTAAGTGCAACAGCTGGTGAATGTTTGATAAGAACCTTGGTGAAGTATATTTTGAGAGCAGATTAGCCTCAGAGTAATTAATATCCCGACAGATTTTTCCTTCACCTTTGCCCTCTCTAACATGAGTGGAAACCAGCATCTCAGAAGTTAACAGAAGTACAGACGACAGATAGAACAGAACAATTACGTTCTCACGATCTTGAATTGGTTCATAATTCACTCCATTTCCTGTAGAGACTTTCATTAGCAGGATACTGTATTTCCGAGTTCACAGCAGGCATGTGAACCCGGCTAAGAAGAGTAAACCTGTTTCTTATCAATGGCTGAGGAAAACTGATTCACAGATGCCCTGAAAGTCAGGTTATGTCATTCTGGGCACAGCAATAGAAGCTGAACAATAGTCTGTTTAAAATTCAGCTGGCCTAGTCTTAACACAGGAACTGCTGCCCTTTCCAGTTCCCCTCCTTGCTTCCTTCCTTCACTCCCTCCCTCTGCCAGAATTAATGTACCTGGCATTATCCAGGGAAACAACATTCACACCTTATAGCATAATCACTGCAGTCAGTACTAGCAGGTTAATAACCTTATGCTTCCAGTAATAGAGTTCAGTCATAGGCTACTTAAAGACAGGCACGCAAGAAAGTTTCTGGGATGTGACCTTTGCTTGTGTTCACCACCACAGATGTGTTCTAAATTATTAACTTAATGAACTGGCTTCACCTTGTAAATATAAAAAATAAGAGAGGGCCCACGAGACAATATTTTTACTTAAACTGATTTGTTTTATTTACACCTATCTCATCTATCTCGTCACACATGCTACTACTGCTCCTCAATTTAAATCTAAAATTGTTATATGATTCACTTCATTACTCCAACTATATCAATATGACGAAGACATTCATCATGCTTTTGTTTATTTGGGATTAAATTTAGCCTATGTAGTTACTTACATTT